GGGCTGAGACCCCGCAAACTCATTGGCACATTGGGGTGATGGGGAGCTCATGAATTGTCCCCCCAGGGTCATGGGGCCAGTATCAGCAGCCCCTGGGCAGGGCCAGTGAAGGACCATCAGCAGATATCAAGTCAATATCTCCGCCTTTTTCCCAGGAGGATAAACTCCTCTCCCCCTTCCCAACCGGGCAAACAACACAGACACACACACAAAAAAAAAAAGTTAAATGAACTCAGTAAAGGAATAAAAAGAGCTCATTTTTCAGGCTTATGTGAAGAAGCCGAGCCAATATCGGGGCCATAAATTAGGGATGCTGGAGGATGGCGGTGAGTGACGGCTTCGTTTGAGGGGCGAAGCGCAGCCGTGACAGCCTCCCCCAGCCAAATGGATGGCTTTCCGATACCACCCGCTCCGTGCCACCCCACAGGAGGAATAAATATGGGGTGGGATGGGACAGGATGGGATGCTCATCCCTCCTTGCCCTGCTGCAACCCGCAGCTGCTGCCCAGACCATCGCCCTAAGGCACTGTGGGGAAGAGCAAGGCTGTGGGGCTGTTTGGGGGTGCTGGTAGAGTGGGGACAGGGTTGTAAACAGACCCAGTGGCTGTGGGGACCATGCTGGTCCATGCTGGGCTCACAGAGCCCTGGTGACCCCATGTCCCCTCACCCCTTGGCCTTGGTGGGGGTGTGATGCTAGGGGACCAGGGATCAGGATGTCTACTGAGGACGCTTGAAAAGGATTTGGGGTCAGGTCTCTTGAGAGGGGCACTGCAGGCCTTTAAGCAGTCAGGGGGCTGCTGGGGGGTATCTGTGGGGTGAGGAGCTTTTCTGGGGACTCTTGGGGGAGCACCTCTCTATGGCGCTTGGAGCGGGATTTTTAAGAGACAAAACTTCTCTATAGGCAGGTTGTGAGTCCCTCCAGAAGGGTTATGGGGGCAGCCTCTCTTCAGAGAGGGTAATAGGGTTAGTTCCTTTATAAAGTTTAGATGGGGTGTCTCTTATGAGGCTCCAGAAGGGGGTTACACAGAGAATCCTTCTAGGATGGTCTGAAAGATTTTGGGGGCAGGTACTCCATAGGGAGCTCTAAGAGTTGTGGGGGGACAACTCTATCTAAGGGGCTCTGGGGGAGTCACTTTGCCCATCCCACTGTGCTCCTACATCCCAGCTGAGAGCGTACCTGACCCCACCAACAGCTCCATCAATGGGGACCCTGTGCCGGCATGCCAGCGTTGGCCCCACTTGTTGGCACAGTGCCACTCTTCCAGCCACCCTGGGGTCCTGCCTGCACCCCCTGTGCCCATGGGTGCTCAGAGAGACACATCTCCCCTTGGGGAGCAGCTGATACCTGCAGTGGTGGTGGGGACAAGGTAGGGACTGTGTCCCCAGGGAGTGAGGGTCCCCCATGGGCTCACCCCACACTGTCTTCTCTGCCCTGTGCATGGCCGAAAGGGACGCCCGTGAACCGCATCCCCATCATGGCCAAGCAAGTGCTGGACCTGTACACGCTGTACCGGCTGGTGACGGACAAGGGTGGCCTGGTTGAAGTCATCAACAAGAAGATCTGGCGGGAGATCACCAAGGGCCTCAACCTTCCTACCTCCATCACCAGTGCTGCCTTCACCCTCCGCACGCAGTGAGTGCTTGGTGGTGGCAGCGGGGGGGGG